CCATAGCAATATCTTGTTGCCGCAAAGCCTTCTTATGACCATTGGGTATGTAACGCATGACATCAGATTGATTCTCCAATTCCACTTGAAGCTGTGACTGCATATGGTGGGCTTTTACTTGACTCATCTCTGACATGCTCAACCTCGACAATGTGTCGGCAACATCGGCAGCAGTGTAAGATTCAGAGTTTTGGATGGCTGTGCCAAAAGTATTCTTTTTCTCGACAGGACCGACCCTGGTACCAATAGGGGGAAGGCCAGAGGCCGGAGATCGCCCTACTAGATGTGAGTCAGGAGTTCTATTTCTTGGCACTGGGGAACTCGTGGTGGAGCCAAGCATAGTATTTGGACTGTTTTTGGCAGTAGCATGTAATGATTCATGGAATGCTAATGGGCTGTCGAATCCACCAGCACTGAAATTCGATAAAACAGCAGAATCTTTCATGTCCCGAAAAGTGTTGCAGCTTGCAGGCCGAGAGAGTTGGCTGCCTAAGGTTGCATCCCGTTCAAGTCCTTCCTGTAAAAGTTCCAATCAATGAAGTAGGAAACCAAAGACTATTTAGACACCTCACAACCAGTATTATATTCAACTGAATAAGTATCAATGTCTAGACATTACCTGAAGTATATCGGCGAAACTCTTCCTTCTCGGTCCAAGCCCAGGATATCCAGATAATCCAATAAAATCTTCTCTGCCTTGATCTAGCCGCTGCACCTTCTGAGAGCGGCCCTGAGCTACAGCATTCCTCAGTTCCATCAAATCATTCTCTGCCTGCTCAACTGGAACCCCTGGCTGAACCGAGAAGAGCGATGAGGAGTTGTCGACTTCAACCGCTTTCTTCCTCCATTCCCCAACAGGATCAAACACAGACTCACTGTTGTGAAACCTCTGAGCAACCCTCCAATCCTCTCTAGACAACAACGGAGGAGGCAACCTCGGATTGGAATGTTCATTCGAATAGTAATAAGAGAGATACTCAGGGTGCCAACGTAGCTCATCATCAGACAAAAGCTCAACGCCATTGCTAGTGCTAAAACTGTTAACATTCCCAACATCTCTATGATCAGAGTTATTATTGTTCCAGTACTGATTATCCATAGCCCTCAACAAACCTTCCACCGTAGGAGGCGCGCTTCCGCTTCTGTGAACATCAATGTCTCGTTCTCTCTCTCGGCCAAATGTTTGCCGATTACGATGTTGTTGGAGCAAAGATTCGAGCTCCCTCTGGAATCGATCCTCGAGATCCACATTGGATCCTCGATTCACACTTGTCAAATTTGATCTCGTATCCATGTAGCTATCAGTCACCATCTCTTCCCTTCATCCGAATCAATATTAGACCTAACCAAATCAACACCTGCAAAACCAGAAAAAAAAAAACCAAAATCGTGTCGGTGTTACGAAATCGGAGAAGAATCCATCAATTTCTGAAAAAGAGTGATGATCAGAATCCGATCGGGAATCAAAGTAATGAATCACCTCTCTCTCTCTCGATTTTCAATGTCGACGGAACGATAAGGTTCTCTCTTGGTTGTTCACGCAGAGAGAAAACGCAGAGGAGAGACCATTGTCTCAGAGAGCGAGTGAGATAAGAAAAGAAATGGAAGTGAGGACGAATGAGAAAATGGGGATTCAAAGAATGAGAGACGACGAATAAGGTAAAGACAAAAGAGGCAAAGCATGGAACTCTGAGATCGCCTTCATCCTTTGGTAATTCTCCCAAACTGTCACTTACCTTTTTTGTTTTTTTATTAATTTTAATGATAAAACTAAATCTTAAAAGGTAATTAGAAGATGCGGCTATTTACGACACCGTATGGATCTCTTTATGACTAGTTTTATCTAATTGATGGACAAATTACATAAAGGACGATTAATTAATGATTAAATTTGTCACCTAAACCAAGAATCTCTTATTAATCTAGAAAAATGAACAATCCCAGAGAGAGAAAAGACCAAAGGAAGTTTTTATTTTTCGTTTGTTTGTTTTCATTCATTTATTTTTGATTATTATTTAATTTGTTACACAATTTTAATTAATATAACTAATTTAGGATGCTTTTAACTCTTACTTACTTACCGAAACATTTCCAATCAATCTTAAGAGAGCAACATTTTAAGAACTAGCACAAACTCACCTGCAAATCGTCCTTATTTTGAATTTGTTAGTCTCATTTACCAAATTAACTCGCACAAATTACAAAACAGTTTTTAATCAAAAACTAAAACAGCTTATAAACAAAAATCTCTTGCAGCCCACTCAAACATTCCTTGGAACTCGGAATTCTCTATTTTATGTAAAATGACCAGACCATCCCCACTCCACTTACCCTCTATGTATGGTAAGCTGTGAGGGTGAAACAGTAATTTAAAACGATTTAGTTTCCATTACAGAGGATTCCATTTCCATTTTTCGCAATCATTTTCTTCTTCTTCTTCTTCCCATGATCGCCTCGCTTCCCAACGCAATCTTCTTCACCCAATCTCTGAATCTCTCCTCAATTCCATGTCTGTCGCTTCTATTCGCCGTTTAGCCGCCGGAGCCGCTGTAATTGCCGCTGCATCCGGTGGCGCTGTCTATCTGTCTCCGTCGGTTGCCTCCAGCGACAAAGGAGGTGGTCCGATTCTAGATTCCTTGAGGCGTAGGATTGGTGATCCCACCGCTTCTGTGCCGTCTCGATCTGCTCAAGAGTCTTCTCTGATTGCAGCCACTGCTTCTGATCCGCTCGATGTTCTCGTCATTGGCGGTGGAGCCACTGGTTCTGGAGTCGCTCTCGACGCTGCTACACGTGGCCTCCGTGTTGGTTTGGTGGAGCGAGAGGATTTCTCCTCCGGGACTTCTTCGCGATCAACGAAGCTGATTCATGGAGGTAATTTTACGTTTTGAATTTTGTATGTGGCGTTGGGTTTCCCAATTTTGGTATAAGAAGCTCTCTGAATTGCCGGGTATTATGAAACAATTGCTTAGTTTACTAGTTGGAAGTGAGTGGTATGATCATCATTAGGTGCTCACGAACTTTGGTTGTTCAATTGGCGAAATTTGATTGAAGATTTTCGAAAATTTGGTGAATGTTTGGATTTCCAGAGGAATAATTGAAGAAAATTTATAGCTCATTGTTTTTTGCCTCTCATTTGCTGTGTTTTTGTTTGTTGATTCAGTAAATGAAGGAACATAATGATAAGGATATGTATTACAACTAGGCTCTTAATGCACCATTTGATTTAGTGCTCGTTTGCACTGCTCTTGATTAGGGGTTCGTTACTTGGAGAAAGCTGTTTTCAATCTTGATTATGGACAGCTGAAGCTTGTATTTCACGCGCTTGAGGAGCGCAAACAGCTCATCGAGAATGCGCCACATCTCTGCCATGCTCTGCCCTGTATGACACCTTGTTTTGACTGGTTCGAAGTTATCTACTTCTGGATGGGTTTGAAAATGTATGATTTGGTCGCTGGACCACGGTTATTGCATCTGTCCAGATATTACTCTGCAAAAGAGTCTATTGAGCTCTTCCCCACTCTTGCAAGGAAAGGGAAAGACAAGAATTTGAGGGGTACTGTTGTGTATTATGATGGGCAAATGAATGATTCACGTCTGAATGTGGGCTTGGCATGTACTGCCGCGTTAGCTGGTGCAGCCGTTCTCAACCATGCCGAGGTTGTCTCTCTTATTACAGATGATTCTACTAAGAGAATAATTGGTGCCCGAGTTCGTAACAATCTCACAGGTAAGATGACAAGCAATTTCTTGAATTCAGTATACCACTGCTCTTCATGATTTGTGCAGTTTTTGATAAGGTGTTTCAATTTGACAGGCCAAGAATTTAACACCTATGCAAAAGTAGTTGTTAATGCGGCAGGACCGTTCTGTGATTCCATTAGAAAAATGATTGATGAAGATACCAAAACCAATGATTTGTCCAAGCAGCGGTGTACACATCGTGCTGCCTGATTACTATTCTCCTGAAGGGATGGGGTTGATAGTTCCTAAAACTAAGGATGGTCGCGTTGTGTTTATGTTACCATGGTTGGGAAGAACAGTAGCAGGCACTACAGACTCTAACACTTCAATCACTTCACTTCCAGAACCTCATGAAGATGAGATTCAATTTATACTGGATGCAATCAGCGACTATCTTAACATTAAGGTATGTCCAGATTCAGCTTAAAAATCAATTCAATTTTTGACCATATATCTATCTTAAACAATTCAGTTGATGATATTATCCATCATTAATCTTCAATAGGTTCGACGTACTGATGTTCTTTCGGCTTGGAGTGGTATCCGTCCGTTGGCCATGGATCCAACAGCCAAGAGCACAGAGAGTATCTCCAGAGACCATGTTGTCTTCGAGGAAAATCCTGGTCTGGTTACAATCACGGGTGGAAAATGGACAACTTATCGAAGGTGAGGGAAATGTAAAAAATTAGCAGAATGTTGTTAAAGTTGTGTTATTATTGCTCATCAGTAATTTTTTTTCAGCATGGCGGAAGATGCAGTTGATGCAGCAATCAAATCGGGAAAACTTAGTCCAACCAATGAATGTGTAACGCAGAAACTACAGCTTCTGGGTTCTTATGGATGGGAACCATCTTCCTTCACAACTCTTGCACAGCAATACGTGCGCATGAAGAAAACCTACGGTGGTAAAGTGGTTCCTGGAGCAATGGACACAGCTGCTGCAAAGCATTTGTCTCATGCCTATGGTTCAATGGCTGACCGAGTTGCCACCATAGCTCAGGTATGGTTCTATATCAGACTCCTCCTTCATCATGTCCTTGGTAGATAACATTCCGGATATTGGATTGCAGGAGGAGGGTTTGGGGAAACGGTTGGCGCACGGGCATCCGTTTTTGGAAGCCGAGGTTGCTTACTGTGCAAGGCACGAGTACTGCGAATCAGCGGTTGATTTCATAGCAAGGAGATGTAGAATCGCGTTCTTGGACACTGATGCAGCGGCTCGGGCGTTACAGCGTGTGGTGGAGATTCTAGCAAGTGAACACAAGTGGGACAAGTCGAGGCAGAAGCAAGAGTTGCAAAAGGCTAAAGAGTTTCTTGAAACTTTCAAGTCTTCCAAAAACGCACAGTTTAACGATGGCAAGCACAACTAAAGCGGCCTCTCAGAAATTTACTTACACTACTATATTGAATTTATTTATTTCTATTTTCAAATTTGTTGGATTTTTGGGTAGCGATTAGCGATTAGCGAGAACGAATAATAATAATACTGTACGGATGGAATAATAATACTGCGGCTACTCATGTTTCTCGGATTAAACTATTAGCCCCACACGAGGTTTCTTTTTGTATTCTAAATGAAGAAGAAGACGACCTATAAGAGATTTGTTGGGAAATGGGCAACAGCTAAAAGACTCTGAGTCAGCTAGAGTGTCTTCAACAGTTGGAAGACTTAAGTTTATTGCATCTCTTAACCTCAAGAGTCTAGACTCTAGAGCTATATTCCAGTGGAGTACAAGATTTGAGATTCTAAACCAAAGTCAGAAACAAGTTTTAGGTTCAATTCTGAACAACAGAGACACAAAGTGAATAGTAATGAAAAGTCATGTTTGTTTAAATTTGAGAGTAACGTTTGGCAAACCAAAAGCCAAAAAGAGAATCTCTGACTTCACCTTGTGGTTTGTGATTCGAAAAAATGGAAGATAAATAGTAAAATATTTCGTGGCTTTCTCTCTGTTTTTGTTTTCACTTGGAAGAATATGGACTTACCTTGGAAGGTTTTATACAACGGAAAATCTCTACCAAAGAATTTTCACAAAACAAAGCTCTCAAAGAAAAGTCTTGGTTCCGCATTAGACAAAAATACTCACGAAACTAGACGAGTTAAAAAAGAACAAAACAAAAAAAAAAATGAAAAATTGAGATACTCACGAAACCAAACTCTTGTGGCACTAAGAAGATATACATTTTATGTCTCCTGCTTCTCCTTAAGGATTTTACCATTAGGATTTTACTGCAGCTTATGAAAATCATGTAACAAATTGGCTGCTGGAGAAGCTTTCGTTTAATCACGGTAATCCGTGAATGGCTCGAGGAGTTGACATTAGTGAGAAAGAATTTCCAAAAGGCGTGATTGAGCATCTGAAGGGGTATCTCTTCCAGGAACATTGACCTTCAGAAGATTGGAATACCTGCAAGCCAAAGAATGTGATGTTTAGTCCAAAAATTAACTATATTAGCCTCATTCTTGTGTTTATTTCGATGAAGTTAGGTTAAAGGAAATAAAGTTGAGAAGCAGACTCTGTGGGTGTAAACATTTGGTCGTGTTCTGCTATGAAAGCGAGCAATGCCTGCAGAAAATTAAGTAAACATTTGAGTCTCGTTTGGTATTCGGGACATAATAATGCTGAGAAACCCAAAGGAAGAAACCAAGAGAAAAACAATCTCCTTTTTGCTTACTTCGAATGGCATGTTTAACAGTTCAAAGTAAGTACGGACACGATCTAGGTTCTGTTGTACGGTTTCACTATCGATATATGGAATAGCTGCCATGGCCTGCAGTGTAAATACACACAAATTAAGATAGTGAATGCTGTTGGAAATCATTAAAAATTGTGAACTAATCTTTACCTGTTCCACTGCAATAGTGTTCCGACATATTTGTTGAACCCCGAAAAGGTTGATAGATCTCATGTCAGCCAAAGCCTAGATTATTTCGTAATAAGAGACAGTCACAGTTTAGAAGATTATAGTAACCTATAGGATATCGAATTATAGTATGGTATATTCAAATTTGAACTAGAAGTACCAAAGATCTTATCCCATT